AATAATAATAATAATAATAATAATAATAATAATAATAATAATAATAAAAAGAGTGCTTGGCACAGTAGGTGCAGAAGCTGGATTTATTTATCTTGACATGTTCATGTGTATATTAGAGGTGGAGATCCTTTGAGAGCTGTATGCAGCAAAATTTCATTTTAATGTATGCTGATTAGTGTACACTCAAAGTGACAAAGTTAGTCTAAGTCGGGTGGGTCTTCAAACTTGACAGTTTTAAGACTTGTGGACTTCAACTCCCAGAATTCCTCCTCTGCTCATGTTAGCTCAAGAATTCTAGGAGTTGAAGTCCACAAGTCTTGCCAAGTTTGAAGACCCTTGGTCTAAGACTAGTCATTGACAGATTCGGATTTGCTAGGTATTTAGAGTGCCAGTTGGCCAGCAATGTTTGTGCTTCTCCAACTTCAAAGCATGAACTTGGTGTGGGCAACTGGGGGCCCTAGAGTCAGATACAACTCCAAAAGTGCATTTTTGCAGCCCATGATTATTGAAAACTGTAGCATAATCCTCCAAATAGAGATGCCAAAGCAGAAACATTGGTGTTTTATCTTCGCCTGAACTCTTCATCCAGCTGGATGAATTGCCTTTTTTTTGTAAGTGGAGATAGGAACAAGATACTTCTTGTGAGGTTCATGATGTCCTCGCCTCTATCAGTAGCTGCCTTGAAAGTTCTGTTGCAATGGAATTATAAGATAAAAATGCAGAAAGTGGGCAAGACTTTGTGGTTGCAAAAGACTTATCCAAAGATCACCCAATATTTAGTGAGTTTATTACCTCCCTCAGTACAAATTAACAAGGTTCCATATTGTCAAGGTTTGTGGGAACAATTATTGTGACAGCCAGGGGAGATTTTTGTTACTTTGGATAGTGAGATGGGCGGCGTATAAATTAAATAAATGCCTGATCAACCAGAAATTCTTAAGTCATTCTTCATTGTTGATAGGGTTCGAACGCCATCACTCTGCTAAACAAATAATTCCCTCAGCACAAGTCTGCATTACTATTACTATTAATCTTTCCACCCTTCCTTTCACCCATCTCCTCCCACTTATGACTGTGACTATAACCTTCTTGTTTGTATTCTAACAATTTTTATTGACTGTTCCCTAGTATGATTTGATTGCTTATTGCACCCTATGACTATTATTAAGTGTTGCACCCTTTTCTTGACTCTTGACGAATGTATCTTTTTTTATGTACATTGCGAGCCTTTGCACCAAGACAAATTCCTTGTGTATCCAATCACATTTGGCCAATAAAGAATTCTGTTCTATTCTATTCTAATTTGTATTCTATTCTATTCTCTATCCCTGTGATGGCGAACCTATGGCACACGTGCCACAGGTGGCACGCAGAGGTATTTGTGCCGGCACACAGGCAAACTTACCTCACTGCACATGCACGCGCCTCATAGCTGATTTTCATCTGGTTTGAGGCCTTTTTCAGCCTCCCAGGCTTGAGGAAAGCCTCTGCAGCCTGAACAATAGGCCCGTTTCATCACTTCCTTCATCAGCTGGGAGGCGCAGTGCAGGTAAGGGCGGCAAGGGATAACGCAGGGGGTGCATGCATTGCCTTCTGGGTGCTGGCACGTAAGCGCATGTGAGCAAGTGCACACACAATTTTTGGCACAGGAGCCCAAAAAGGTTAGCCACCACTGCTCTAACCTTTTCCATCCCATCCCATTCTATTTAAGTTCTATTCCTATATCCTTCTACTCTATTCTATTGTACCCTATGACTATTATTAAGTGTTATACCTTGTGATTGTTGACTCTTGATGAGTGTATCTTTTCTTTTATGTACACTGAGGGCATTTGCACCAAGACAAATTCCTTGTGTGTCCAATCACACTTGGCCAATAAGGAATTTAATTCTATTCTATTTTTGTATTGGATACTACAGACATAAAACAGGCAGTCCTACTTGTGCTCTAGGGACTATGTATGGCCACATCTATAAACTATACATATCTTTTATTCATGAGCAAATATTATAAAATGTACTGTACTAGAAGCGGAACTGCAAAGTTCTGATGAATTTCAGGAAAATTTGTACAGGTAGCCCTTGACTTACACCGTTCAAATTTACACCTGCACTGAAAATGTGACTTAGGGCCAGTTTTCACACTTATGACTACGGTAGCATCCCCACAGAAAGTGATCGAAATTCAGAAGCTTGGCAATTGACTCATATTTATGATTGTTGCAGTGTCCTAGGGTCACACTATGCCCTTTTGCAACTTTCTGACAAGCAATGTCAACAAGGAAGCCAGATTCACTTAACAACAATTTGACTAATTTAACACTATAGGGATTCACTTAATTGTGGCAAGAAGGGTTGTAAAATGGGGCAATCTCACTTAACAAATGTTTCACTTATCAACTTAAATTTTGGGCTCAATTGTCATAAGTTAAGGACTACCTGCTTCACTAAGACACCATAATTCCTCACAGCAGAGAAAAACAAAATGGCCCACTTCTTCGTGTCATTTGAAGCCATAATGAGGTTTGATTGAGCTTGGTATGTTAAGCTACAATGCCACTAGAAAAAGTTGAAAGGATCATGTACCTAGGTTCTAATTTACATGAAAGCTGCGACATGACCACTGAAGTAAAGACAAGGATAGAGGAAACCTCGAACAGCATTCTTCAAAATGAAAAAGGTCTTCTGCAGTAACGACATAAAGATTGAAAATCAGGTTTGTCAGATGCTACATCTTTTCTCTCCTGCTCTACGGAGTAGAGAGTTGGTCTCTGACAGAAAGCCCCTTGAAGAGACTAGAAGCATTTGAAACGTGGATCTCATGTTACATTATAAGTTGGGTTGACAAAATCAGAATTTGGGGGTGATAAGCCACCTGGAAAGCCCAGGGAAATAATCAAAACCATAAAAAAGCAGAAGTTAGAACATGTGATGTGACACCCAGAAAAATACAGCATCCTTCACTTAACCCTCCAGGGAAAGATTGAAGGCAAATGAAGTCCAGGTAGAAGAATAATAATACTGGCAACATGATCGCCAATGTCCGATGGCGGATATGGCACAAGAATGTTAAGCTGCCCACAGATTTTGGAGACACAGCATACTGCAACAGTTAAAGTGTTGGCTGGCATTGGGGATCCTTTCTCACTTATGGAAATTTTGTAAGTGACTTTGGACCTGTCATACTCTTTCATCTCAACTGGCTTTACATGGTTGCTGGTAGGTACAACTGGATGACCTTATGAGTACCATCTTGAGCTCTTGAAGGATAAGGCAGAATGTAAAAGGAGCTTCTGTGGCGCAGTGGTTAGAATGTAGTACTGCAAACTACTTCTGCAGCCAGCTGCCTACAATTTGGCAGTTCAAATCCCACCAGGCTCAAGGTTGACTCGGTCTTCCATCCTTCCGAGGTGGGTAAAATGAGGACCCAAACTGTTGGAGGGCAATATGCTGCCTCTGTAAACAGCTTAGAGAGGGCTGTAAATCACTATAAAGTGGTATATAAGTCTAAGTGCTATTGCTATTGCTATGTATCTCTAGAAAAAGAAACTATACGTTCCGTATGATTGAAGCAGCACAATAGCCTGGTTAATAAATGTTGGAAAAAAATTATCTATATGGTCCAGAAGAGTTGACACTGACTTAATGGCATATAAACATTCAATATATTTGAGGTTGGTAAAATGTGGCCTAGGGAATCTCTTAATATAGTGCAGGTTTCCAATCAATTTCAAATGTTGAAGAGATAAATGGAAAACTGGCAGGTTGCCAAGTAAAGCCCAAAAATGGTGGTTTGTTTGAAAACAAGCCCAGAAAGAAGGCAAACCTTAATTGTGGTAGAGCATTTGTAAGGGGAGGAATAGTGTTTCTTAGCCTACCAACTTTTAAGCTGTATGGACTTCAACTCCCAGAATTCCCCAAGCAGCACAGTGGCTGGGAACTTCTGGGAGTTGAAGTCCTCTCATCTTAAAGTTGTCAAGCTTGAAAAACACTGGCCTAGATCAGGGGTGTCAAACTTGCATCTTATCACAACATTTTCTCCTTCAAGTATGAACGTGGCCAGCACTTGTCATACATCCAGCATGCAACTTTTACAGCCCTGGCCTAGATGAACAAACCAGGCTGAAGAAAATCAGTGTTAACTATTTGTACAGGCAATCACTAATTTATAACAATTGGGACCAGAATTTCCATTGCTAAGTAAGGCAGTACCACACAATTTCACAACCTGTTTTGCTAAAGCAAGGGTCTTCAAACTGGGCACAAGTTTAAGACTTGTGGACT